CAACAGAAGAGATAACAATTTAAATATATATGCACCCAACTTAGGTGCACCCAGATTCATAAAGCAAACTTTACTGGACCTAAGCAAATGGATTAATAGCAACTCCAATCATTGGAGTTTCAAACACCCACTGACGGCACAAGACAGATCCTCCAAACAGAAAATTAATAAAGAAATAATGGACTTAAACAAAACTCTAGAACAATTGGGTCTGACTGACATTAACAGAACATTCTACCCAAAATCCACTGAATATACGTTCTTCTCATCAGCTCACAGGACATCTCTAAGACTGACCATATCCTAGGACACAAAGTAAACCTCAAGAAATTTTAAAAAATAGAAATCATACCATGTATCTTCTCAGATCACAGTGGAATAAAAGTAAAAATCAACCGTAACAGAAACTCACATTTCTACACAAAAACATGGAAATTAAACAACCTCCTACTAAATGATTACTTCATAAATGAAGAAATCAAGATGGAAATAAAAAACTTCTATACTCCTACACTGCTGGTGGGACTGCAAATAAGTTCAACCTCTGTGGAAAGCAATATGGAGATACCTTTAAGCGATACAAGTGAATCTACATTTGATCAGCAATCCCATTGCTGGGCATCTACCCAAAAAGTCCAATGACACTCTACAAAAAGACACCTGCACTCGAATGTTTATAGCAGCACAATTCATAATTTCAAGGCTGTGGAAACAGCCAAGTGCCCATCAATCCAAGAATGGATTAATAAAATGTGGTATATGTATACCATGGAGTACTATTCAGCTCTAAGAAACAATGGTGATATAGCACATCTTATATTTTCCTGGTTAGAGCTGGAACCCATACTATTAAGTGAAGTTTTCCAAGAATGGAAAAACAAGCACCACATATACTCACCAGCAAATTGGTATTAGCTGAACAGCACCTAAGTGGTCACATAGGTACTGCAGTAATAGGGTATTGGGCAGGGGGAGGGTATATACTATATAATGAGTGAGATGTGCACCATCGGAGATGGTCAGTGGAGACTCAGACTTGGGGGAAGTAATGGGAATTATTGATCCTTAAAATCTGACCCCTAATGCCGAAAAAAACAAAAAAAAAAAAAACAGAGACCTAAAAAAAAAAAAAAAGGCAAACTATGGAATGGGAGTAAGTATTTGCAAATCATATTTGATACGGGGTTAATATCAAGAGATATAAAGAACTACAACTCTACGACAACAAAAAAAACACACAACCTAATTTCAATATGGGCAAAAAACTTGAACAGACATTTCTCCAAAGATATACAAATGGCCATTAGGCACATAAAGAGATGTTTAACATCACTAAGCATTATGGAAACAACAACAACAAAAATCAAATCCACAATGACATACTACCTGACATCCATTAGGATGGCTACTAACAAACAAAAAAAAAAGAACACAAGTGGTGCCTAAGGTGTAGAGAAATTGGAACCTTTGTGCACTGTTGGTGGAATTGTAAAATGGTGTGGCCACTATGTATGATAGCTCCTCAAAAAATGAATAATTACTATATGATTCAGAAATTCCACTCTTGGGTAGAAACCAAAAAAATTAAAAGCAGGGACTTGAACAGAAAGTTGTACACCTGTTCATAGCAGCATCATTCACAGTAGCTGATAATGGAAACAACCGAAGTGTCCATTGACAGATGAATGGATGAAGAAAATGTGGTATATACCTACAATGTGATATTATTCAACCTTAAAAAGGAAGGAAATCCTGGCACATGCTATAACATGAATAAACTTTGAAGACATTATGCCAAGTGATATACGCCAATAACAAAAGCAAATGCTATGATTCCACTTATATGAGATACCTAGAGTGGTCAAATTCATAGAGACAGAAAGTAAAATGGTGGTATACAGGGGCTGAGGAGAGAGAGGAATGGGGAGCTATTTTCAATGGGTACAAAGTGTAAGATTTGCAACATGAATTCTGTGGAGAGATAGTGGTAATGCTTGCACAACAATGTAAATGTGGCTGGGCCCGGTGGCTCACACCTGTAATCTTAGCACTCTGGGAAGCCGAGGCAGGCGGATTGCTCGAGGTCAGGAGTTCAAAACCAGCCTGAGCAAGAGTGAGACCCCGTCTCAACCATAAATAGAAAGAAATTAATTGGCCAACTAATATATATAGAAAAAATTAGGCGGGCATAGTGGCGCATGCCTGCAGTCCAAGCTACTCGGGAGGCTGAGGCAACAGGATTGCTTGAGACCAGGAGTTTCAGGTTGCTGTGAGCTAGGCTGACACCATGGCACTCACTCTAGCCTGGGCAACAATGTGAGACACTGTCTCTAAATAAATAAATAAATAATAATAATAATAAATGGGCATTTATTGAAACCTTAAAATCTGTACCCCCATAATATGCTGAAATAAAAAAAAATGTAAATGTACTTAATACCACTGAGCTGTACACTTAAAAATAGTTAAGATGGTATATTTAATGTTGCATTCTACCGCAAAAAAAAAAAAAATAATCCAAGAAAATGATCCAGAAATAGAAGACCTAAATCTACACATTTAATGAGTCCATTGGATATTGGAGAAAATTGACTCAGAATGATTAACTCTAAGATATATTATATCAAAATTATTAGACTTTAAAGTTAAAAGTCCTCAGAGCCACTGAGAAAAAGAGAAAATAAGAGCAAGGGAATTAGATTGGAGATCAAAAGCACAAATTAAGGCAACATTAGAGCATTGAAGAAATGTAAGAAAATAATGTGACCGAAAGATATTATAGTGAACCAACTTGTCCATGAAGTATCAAACCTATAAAAAGTATTTTTGAACATATTAGAATTTAAACAATGCTATACATGTGTTCTTCCTGAGGGATATCCTAGTGGATGAGCTACATCCAATCAAAAGATAACTAAAAAAAAACTTCTAAGGGTCTGAAAGTGAGCATTTTGTGTGTTTAAATTGCAAAGCCAAGATTAAAATAATGATTGGATTACAGGTTTTAAAAACGATCTGTAAATAAATCAAAACCTTGATTTTGTTACTAGCTCATTTTATCAAGAATAGGAGAGAAATTACTAAAATATATACGTACAGGCACTTTCAGTGGTAAATCTCATGCTTTTAACCACAATTTTAAAATTAATTTTTAAGTGGAAAAAAGTATAAATACATATAAGAAGAATTAAGAGGAAAATATCTGTTGACTGAGAGGAGGTTTTAAAAGTTATAGGACACTATTTTAGAATCTCTACGCAAATAAATTTGAAAATCTACAGGAAAGGAAAATAATTTTTAGGTGAATACAGTTACCAAAATACAGTTACCAAAACTGAACCACTTGAGATAGAAAGTAAAAACAGATTGATTTCCATAGAAGAAACAGAGAAAGTGATCAAGTCAGTGCTTTACATAAAAGCACCAGACCTAGACGATTTTTGCTAGTTTGAATGTTTCCTCCCCAAATTCATGTGTTGGACACTTAATCCCCAAATTTATATGTTGATGGTATTTGGAGGTGGGACCTTGGGGAGATAATCAGAGTTAGATGAGATCATGATGCTGGGAGCCCCCCCCCATCATGGGATTCATGGCTTTATAAGAAAAGGAAGAGAGACCTAAGCTGGTAGACTCTAAGAACAATAACACCTCCATTACTGTCTGTTCCAGGACCCCCTAACCCAAAGCCCAAAGGTGGCAGCTAAACCAGTTATAGGAGGGAGAGGGCAACCACAATAAAGCACTGTGAGTCTATCTCCTGGCCCTTCTCTGTCTCTAACCACATCAGCTGAGGACTCTGGAAAGAGACCCAGGCACCCCTAACAGGTCAGAAATAACCCCAAAGCAATCAAAAGATTAAGGATTTCTTAAGGACAAATATAGAAAAATATAGTAAATAAATAATCAGGCCCAGAGCGGTGGCTCAAGTGTATAATCCTAGCACTCTGGGAGGCTGAGGCAGGAAGATCGCTCGAGGTCAGGAGTTCAAGACCAGCCTCAGCAAGAATGAGATCCCATATCTACTAAAAATACAAAGAAATTATTGGCCAACTAAAATATATAGAAAAAATTAGCCAGGCATGGTGGTGCATGCCTGTAGTTCCAGCTATGTGGGAGGCTGAGCCAGAAGGATTGCTTGAGCCCAGGAGTTTGAGGTTGTTGTGAGCCAGGCTAACCCCACAGCACTCTAGCCTGGGCAACAAACAGAGTGAGACTCTGTCTCAAAAAAAAAAAAAAAAAAACAAACCTAGTCACAATCCCACCCAGTGTTAGGAGTTATTTAAAATTGAATAAAAACTTCTATTCCTCACATCAACTCACCCTGAAATACAGGCATCCTACATCTGTCTTATGGCCCCAAGGACAATTTCTGTCATGGAAAAATCACCATAGTACTTAGGATAGAGTCAAGACTTAGCCTTGGCCAGAAGGAACAGGCTGGTGAGAAGGGTTAAGGTTGTATAGTAGTAAAGTCTAGGCTAAAAGAAAAAAAAAAAAGACAGAATAAGAAGAAGAGTTAAGGAAGCAACATTTTAAGGTAACTCTACCTAGCAGAAAACTGTGCCCCTACCCCCAAAATTCAATTTGCCACTCCTCTACCCATTGCCCTGGAGAACCCTCAAAGATCTCAAGCACAAGGCAGCAGCCATGAGACTCCAAGTTCCCCAAATGGTTTAGAAACACAGCACCAATTAGGGGGTAAGAGATTAAGTTTTGTTCCCAGCAAAATTACACTTAGGAATGCCCCCTGGGCACAGCCAGGCCTCGAGCATCTGGTCTGAGGTTTCACCCCAGGCCCCACCACTCACCCTAACTCAACATAAAAAGTTCCCAGCATTCCTAAGAAGCAAACAAACGTGTATGTAACACATGTTTAAGAAACATGAGTTTCTTAAAAATAAAACCTCAGTACCTGTAGTAAATGCAGCAACCAAACCAGACTTCTTTTGCACTGTCATAACCTGCGGGTTGGGAGCAGTCTTTTGGAGCCTGCCTACCTGTGTTCGAATCCTGGCTCTGAGGCTGACAGGCCATGGGGCACGGCTGGCTGTCACTCTCCTCCTGGGCCACTCCCTCCTCCGGCTGCTCTTCAGGCCGTGAGTGGGAAGCCATGTCTCTCTCTAGCGAGGGGGGAAGAAGACCATTCATTGGCTAGCCATTTATAAAATAAGATTTTTTTTAAAAGTGGAGCCCAACCTCATACCTATTCGTGAAATAAAATTACTAATGGATTCAGGCCTTTCTCTAAAATGACCAGGAAAGGCCGGGCACGGTGGCTCACGCCTGTAATCCTAGCACTCTGGGAGGGCAAGGCGGGCTGATTGCTTGAGGTCAGGAGTTCAAAACCAGCCTGAGCATGAGCGAGATCCCATCTCTACTATAAATAGAAAAAAATTAATTGGCCAATTAAAATATATAGAAAAGATTAGCCAGGCATGGTGGTACATGCCTGTAGTCTCAGCTACTCGGGAGACTGAGGCAGAAAGATTGGTTGAGCCCAGGAGTTTGAGGTTGCTGTGAGCCAGGCTAACGCCATGGCACTCTAGCCTGGGCAACACACAGAGTGAGACTCTGTCTGGGGAAAAAAAAAAGAAAAAATCAGTGACAATCCCACCCATTATAAGGAGTTATTTAAAATTGAATAAACACTTCTATTCCTCACATCACCTCAACATGAAATGCAGGCATTCTAAATTCTGGCTTATGGCCCCAAGGGCAATTTCTGTGATGGAAAAATCACCATAGTACTTGGGATAGAGTCAAGACTTAGCCTCGACCAGAAGGAAGAGGCTGGTGAGAAGGGTTAAGGTTGTATAGTGGTAAAGTCTAGGCTAAAAGAAAGAAAAAAAAGACAGAAATAGAAGGAGACTTAAGGAAGCAACATTTTAAGGTAACTCCATCTAGTAGAAAACTGCGCCCCAACCCCCAAAATTCAATTTTCGCTCATCTACTCATTGCCCTGCAGAACCCTCAAAGATCTCAAGCACAAGGCAGCAGCCATGAGACTCCAAGTTCCCCAAAAGGTTCGGAAACACAGCACCGATTAGGGAGTAAGAGATAAGTTTTGTTCACAGCAAAATTACACTTAGGAATGGCCCCGGACACAGCCAGGCCTTGGGCATCCAGTCTGAGGTTTCACCCCAGCCCCCACCGCTCACGCTAACTCAACATAAAAAGTTCCCAGCATTCCTAAGAAGCAAACAAACATGTATGTAACACATGTTTAAGAAACATGAGTTTCTTAAAAATAAAAACTCAGTACCTGTAGTAAATGCAGCAACCAAACCAGACTTCTTTTGCACTGTCATAACCTGCGGGTTGGGAGCAGTCTTTTGGAGCCTGCCTACCTGCATTCGAATCCTGGCTCTCAGGCTGACAGGCCATAGGGCACGGCTGGCTGTCCCTCTCCTCTTGGGCCACTCCCTCCTCCGGCTGCTCTTCAGGCCCTGAGTTGGAAGCCATGTCGCTCTCTGGTCCAGCCTTTCTGAGTAAAACAGCACTTCTCTAAAGCAATATTAATTAAATATTACCCTGAGATGCCCACCCAGGATACACCTCGACTCAGCCCTGCCCTTGACACACCTGTTAGTGGCTTTACCCAACGCACCTTTTCAAACCCTGCCCTCCATTCATTGGGCGCCCACTGAAAGCAACTTTCTTTTTAATCACTATTATGAAGCTGGTACTATCTTATTTCCACTTAGACTTGAGGACACTGGGTGCAAAGTGGTTTAGACCACAGAGCGAGTCTCTGACCAAGACAGTCTGACCTGAAACCTCACGCTTGTCGTCATCACTGCACGCCCTTGAGGACAGAAGCTTTGTCAGGCTCGCAGATGATCTGCATCACTTGATAAATCATTGATTAAGGACTATTGAGATTAGAGGCAAGAGAGACCAGAGATTAATACTGAATAAGGACATTATGAGACAGAAGACTAGGCCGGACGCGGTGGGTCACGCCTGGGAGGCCAAGGCGGGTGGATTGCTCAAGGTCGGGAGTTCAAAACCTGCCTGAGCAAGAGCGAGGCCTCGTCTCTACTATAAATAGAAAGAAATTAACTGGTCAACTAATATATATAGAAAAAATTAGCCGGGCATGGTGGCGCATGCCTGTAGTCCCAGCTACTCGGGAGGCTGAGGATTGCTTAAGCCCAGGAGTTTGAGGTTGCTGTGAGCTAGGCTGACGACACAGCACTCACTCTAGCCTGGGCAACAAAGCCAGACTCTGTCCCAAAACAAAAAACAAACAAACGAAAAAAACAAACAAACTTCATGACTATTTAGTATTTTGCCTATATTTTTCTTTTATTCTCCAAAGCTACTCTTACATTCTGTTTCTTATTTCCACTAAGACAATTTGCTCCTATTCTCAATCAATATATTCAATGATCAATGGATAAAGAGGTAACAAAATCTTACCTAAATGTGTATATAATAAAATAGCATATATTCTAATACTGGAAAGTTTTGTGCAGTTTTAACAATTTATTTTTAAAAATCACACCAGAGATTCCCCCAAACAAATTGGTTCATGCAATACATGCTTATATAAGAGAAAATTGACTCAGAATGATTAACTCTAAGATATATTATAGCAAAATTATTAGACTTTAAAGGTAAAAGTCCTCAGAGCCATTGGGAAAAAGAGAAAATAATCCACCCACCTTGCCCTCCCAGAGTGCTAGGATTACAGGCGAGAGCCACCTGCAACTTCTAATGCAGGGGGTGCTATGCCACGTCCTGACACTGCCAAGCCAAGTATTCTCCTGCACTTTAGTCTCATATGTCTAATTTTTCACTTACTATTTCTCCTTGGAGGTTTAGTTAGCATGCCAAATTTAATGTGTCCAGAGTAAAACCCCAAATGTCTCTGACAGAAAACCGCTCTTCTCCTAAGCCTCCCTATGTAGGGAGGGACAACTCCAGTCTTCCATTTGCTCAAGCCAAAACTTTGGAACCATCCTTATTTCTGCCTGCTCTCACTGCATGCCCAATATCTCAAACTACCAGCAGTTCCACCTTTAAAAGATTAAGTCTTCCCAGTTCCCTATGATTCCACAGCCAGCACCCTGGTCAAAACCTTCACCATCCCTATCCTGGATAATTACAATAGCTTGACTTGACTCTGCTCCCAAACTCACAAGTCTATTTTTCTAAAAGATGTATGCATACTGTATTCACACCCACATTGAGACAGAATGATTGACAAAACATCACTTTGTCCTATGTGATGAAATGCTATTAAACTTTTTCATAATTCTTAACATTTTCCATTTCGTCTATAAAAAGTTACATTGATGCAAAGCTTTGAATATTTAACTTACCTCAATTACAGGCAAGTAACAATGGAGTGCTTTGGACAATTTTTCTCTGGTTGTAATATCAGGGTACGGATTTTGTTCAAATGACTTCTCAAGTCTATGCAGGTCATCTGGAGTAAATTTATGTCGTCTTCTTATAATTGGTTTTTTCCTTTTTATTTTTATTTCTTTAGGACTATCTTTAACTGGAGATCCTGGAAAATGTACAAATGAAAAGAAAATCACTGTGGAATGTTAGTTTCAAGAGTGGGGAAGAAGACCATTCATTGGCTAACCATTTATAATATTAGGTTTCTTTAAAAATGTGGTGCCCAACCTCATATCTATTCGTGATAACAAAATTACTAATGGATTAAGGCCTATCTTTAAAATGATGAGGAGAAAAATGAAATCATTTATGTCCTCCAGATTATAGAAGAACTTTTAGTCTAATAAAAATCATACACTATAAAGGGAAAAGACTGATGAAAAATCCTCAGCCACATTTGTAATTGAGCTCATACAAATAAACCAGCTCACCAATCTGATAAACTAACAATTTAAATGTATGGAAGTAGGGCAGGAGAGGAATGGGAAGGATTAAAGAGAAAAGAAAATCAATAGCAGGGCTGGTACAAGGATCAGTTCTTAGAACCACTTTGGTTTTTGCTGTGTTCTTGATTACACATAGCAATCAAAGGGCACTTGAAGGTTTTGTAGCCAATTTGCACATCCTTTCCCCAACCCTGCTCTACTGAGGTGCAGTCTAAAGTGGGAGCAGCCCATCGTCCCAATGTGTGACTATTTCCTTGGTTTAGGAGAAGCAGAACAGAAGAACTTCTTCGTAAATTTCTGTGTAGGTATGTTCTAAGCTATCTAGAGACTACCATAAGGTCTGGCACAAGCAATCTCTTTTTCCTAACTCAGAATTTGGGTGGAAAAAGCTTGAAAATACCACAAGCCAAATTAACAACTCTCAGATGAACTGGGACAAAAAAATACAATCCAGGCTGGGCTCAATGTCTCACGCCTATAATCCTAGCACTCTGTGAGGCCCAGGCAGACGGGATCACTCAAGGTCAGGAGTTCAAAACCAGCCTGAGCAAGAGTGAGCCCCTCACCCCCCCACCCCACCCCATCTCTACCATAAATAGAAATAAATTAATTGCCCAACTGAAAATATATAGAAAAAATTAGCAGGGCTTGGTGGCGCATTCTGTAATCCCAGATACTCAAGAGGCTGAGGCAGTAGGATTGCTTGAGGCCAGGAGTTTGACGTTGCTGTGAGCTAGGCTGACACCACCACACTAACTCTAGCCTGGGCAACAAAGTGAGACCCTGTCTCAAAAACGAAACACAACAAACAAACAAACAAAAATAATGTAAATATACTTACTGCCACTTGAACTGTACACTTAAAATAGTTAAGATGGTATATTTAATGTTGCATTCGACCACAACAAAAAAATAACCCAAGAAAATGTTCCAGAAATAGAAGACCTAAATTTACACATTTAAAGAGTCCATAGGATATTGGAGAAACTTGACTCAGAATGATTAACTCTAAGATATATTATAGCAAAATTATTAGACTTTATAGTTTAAAGTCCTCAGAGCCACTAGGCAAAAAGAAAAAATAATTTATAAGAGCAAGGGAATTAGATTGGAGATCAAAAGCACAAATTAAGGCAACATTAGAGCATTGAAGAAATGTAAGAAACTAATGTGACCTAAAGATATAGTGAACCAAGTTGTCCATGAAGTATCAAACCTATAAAAAAGTATTTTCAACGTATTAGAATTTAAACAATGCTATACATGTGTCCTTCCTGAGGGACAGCCTAGTGGATGAGCTACATCCAATCAAAAGATTACTAAAAAAAACTTCAAAGGGACCGAAAGTGAGCATTTTGTGTGTTTAAATTGCAAAGCCAGGATTAAAATAATGATTGGATTACAGGTATGAAACTGATCTGTAAATAAATCAAAATCTTGATTTTGTTACTAGCTCATTTTATCAAGAATAGGAGAGAAATTACTATAATATATGCCTACAGGCACTTTCAGTGGTAAATCTCATGTTTTTTTTTTTTTTTTGAGACAGAGTCTCGCTTTGTTGCCCAGGGCTACGACGTGGTGGCCCGTGGCGTCAGCCTAGCTCACAGCACCTCAAACTCCTGGGCTCGAGTGATCCTTCTGCCTCAGCCTCCCGGGTAGCTGGGACTACAGGCATGCGCCACCATGCCCGGCTAATTTTTTTTATATATATATATCAGTTGGCCAATTAATTTCTTTCTATTTATAGTAGAGACGGGGTCTCGCTCTTGCTCAGGCTGGTTTCGAACTCCTGACCTTGAGCAATCCACCCGCCTCGGCCTCCCAAGAGCTAGGATTACAGGCGTGAGCCACAGCGCCCGGCCTAATCTCATGTTTTTAACCACAATTTTAAAATATAATTTTTTTAAGTAGAAAAAGTACAAATACATATAAGAAGAATTGAGAAGAGGAAAATATTTGTTGACTGAGAGGTTTTAAAAGTTACAGGAGACTATTTTGCAACCTCAATGCAAATAATTTGAAAATCTACAGAAAGGAAAAAATATTTTAGGTGAATACAGTTACCAAAATACAGTTATCAAACCTGAACCACTTGAGGATGAAAGCATAAACAGATTGATTTCCATAGAAGAAACAGAGAAAGTGATCAAGTCAGTGCTTTACATAAAAGCACCAGACCTAGATGATTTCTGCTAGTTTCAATGTTTCCTCCCCAAATTCATGTGTGGTCACTTAATCCCCAATTTATATGTTGATGGTATTTGGAGTGGGTCTTGGGAGATAATCAGAGTTACATGAGATCATGGTGCTGGGAGCCCCATCATGCGATTCATGGCTTTATAAGAAAAGGAAGAGAGACCTAAGCCTGGTAGACTCTAAGAACAATAATACCTCCATTACTGTCTGTTCCAGGACCCCTAACCCAAAGCCCAAAGCCGGCAGCTAAACCAGTTATAGGAGGGGGAGGCCAACCACAATAAAGCACTGTGAGGCTATCTCCTGGCCCTTCTCTGTCTCTAGCCACAACAGCTCAGGACTCTAAAAAGAGACCCAGGCACCCAACTTCCCAGAAATAACCCCAAAGCAATCAAAAGATTAAGGATTTCTTAAGGACAAATACAGAAAAATATAGTAAATAAATAATTAGGCCCAGAGCGGTGGCTCAAGCCTATAATCCTAGCACTGTGGGAGGCTGAGGCAGTAAGATCGCTCGAGGTCAGGATTCAAGACCAGCCTGAGCAAGTGTGAGACCACATCTCTACTAAAAATAGAAAGATATTAATTGGCCAAGTAAAATATATAGAAAAAATTAGCCAGGCATGGTGGTACATGACTGTAGTCCAAGCTACTCAGGTGGCTGAGGCAGGAGGATCGCTTGAGCCCAGGAGTTTGAGGTTGCTGTGAGCCAGGCTAACGCCACAGCACTCTAGCCTGGGCAACAAAAAGAGTGAGACTCTGTCTCAAAAAAAAAAAAAAAAAGCAGTCACAATCCCACCCTTTTTAGTGATATTTAAAATTGAATAAAAACTTCTATTCTCACATCAACTCACCCTGAAATACAGGCATCCTAAATTCTGTCTTTGGCCCCAAGACAATTTCTGTCATAGAAAAATCAGCATACTTCTTAGGATAGAGTCAAGACTTAGCCTTGGCCAGAAGGAACAGGCTGGTGAGAAGGGTTAAGGTTGTATACTGGTAAAGTCTACGCTAAAAGAAAGAAAAAGACAGAATAATAAGAAGAGTTAAGGAAGCAACATTTTAAGGTAACTCTACCTAGCAGAAAATGCGCCCCCAACCCCAAAATTCAATTTGCCACTCCTCTACCATTTGCCTGGAGAACCCTCAAGATCTCAAGCACAAGGCAGCAGCCATGAGACTCCAAGTTCCCCAAAAGGTTCAGCAACTAAGCACCAATTAGGGGGTAAGACATAACCTAAAACAGAAGCAACAACTTCAAAATTAAATTAAGAGAAAAAACACGTTTTGTCCCAGCAAATTACACTTAAGAAGGCCCCATTTGCCTCACAGAGGCCTCGAGACATCTATGCTAGAGGGTTTCTACCCACACCCACCACTCACCCTAACTCAACATAAAAAGTTCCCAGCATTCCTAAGAAGCAAACAAACGTGTATGTAACACATGTTTAAGAAACATGAGTTTCTTAAAAATAAAAACTCAGTACCTGTAGTAAATGCAGCAACCAAACCAGACTTCTTTTGCACTGTCATAACCTGGGGGTTGGGAGCAGTCTCTAGGAGCCTGCTTACCTGTGTTCGAATCCTGGCTCTGAGGCCGACAGGACTGGCTGTCCCTCTCCTCCTGGGTCTCTCCGTCCTCGGTCTGTTTGTCTGGCTCTGAGTTAGAAGCCATGTCGCTCTCTGGTCCAGCCTTTCTGAGTAAAACAGCGCTGCTCTAAAGCAGCATTCATTAAATATCACCCTGAGATGCCCACCCAGGATACACCTGGACTCAGCCCTGCCCTCCACACACCTGTTAGTGGCTTTACCCAACGCACCTTTTCAAACCCTGCCCACTTAAAGCAACTTTCTTATTAATCCCTATTGGGAAATAGGTACTATCTTACGCCCACTTAGACTTGAGGACACTGAGTACACAGAGGTTTAGACCACAGAGGGAGTCTCTGACCCAGACAGTCTGACCTAAACCTCAACGCTTGTCATCACTGCATGTCCTGTGAGGACAGAAGCTTTGTCAGGCTCGCAGATGATCTGCATCACTTGATAAATCATTGATTAAGGAATATTGAGATTGGAGGCAGGAGGGACCTGAGATTAATACTGAATAAGGACATTATAAGACAGAAGACTAATGTTTTATAAACATCAGATCATTTGCTAATTCATCCTATTCGTGAAACAGTCATCTTGTGAGATAGCCAAAGCCTCCATTTTACATGTGAGGAAACTGCAGGCTGTTTGGTTTTCTTTGTAAAGTCTCTAAGACTTTGTAACTTCCTAAACGTGTGGGAGAAGGTAGTAACACTTGAAAGGTTGTTTTGTACTGCAGGTGTGGGAAATGCAACACCTGTTGACAGCTGTTCCACATTTAAAGGATGGATTTTTTTCATATATTACTTAAATCTCATAGTGGCCCTATGGGGATATATATTATTATTTGGATGAGTACTGAAACACAGAGAAATTTACTAATTTACCTGAGGTCAAACTCTAAGAAGAGAAAAAAACAGAGGGACTTAAGGCAGGTGAAAGTAAAGTTTTTAACTGGGCAGGTTAATGGTCGACATGCAGGAGGGAAGAAGCCCCAGATGAATTCAGTTTCTCACTTAACTCCAGGATAGATCATGCTTTGGCAAACAAAAATGAAGACAAAGCCCAAAGAATAGACTTGGGCACATGAAATCATGGAAGGTCATGTTAATGAGGCATGACTGTGTTTATCTGCTGGACGATTTCAGCCCATCCTTTCAGGCAGTGCCAAGTGCTTTATGCTTTGTTGTGGTTGAGAAAATATTTTGGGAGCTGAAAGTGTTGGAGACTGAGAGTAGAGAGCAAACAAAAATTAGGTTGGACCTAAACTGATTTCTTCAGCCTTTCTTTTTTTTCCCCCAGTAATTCAAAATTCAGGTCAGCGTTGTTTTACTTTTTTCTCAGTACCTTGAATTCACACTAGGTGGCGACCTTCCCGGTCCCTCCTCCAAGCTGCTTCCAAAATCCTTCACTTTCTTGCTTTTCATTCTTTTCTCAATTTGTCTCTCCTATTGTTCTCACTCCATTATTTAGACATCACTGGCAAAGGTCAACAAGTCAACTCCTAAATTGCACAATCTCGTGGTTAACCTTCCTTCTTAAGCCATCAAATATTGTTGGTCAATCTTTTGTTCCCTTGGCAACTCTCCTACTTCAGATTATTTATATTAACCTTGACCTCAGTGGACATCCACTGAGTCCTTCATCCTTTTGAAAAATACCTCATAACAGTAAGGGCCAGATGTATAGGGTTTTGTGTATTGAGCCCAGCAATATGGCTGTGAAGAGCACAAATGCATTTGAGTTAACTTTTAAAAATACATAACCCAAATTATCACCTGCAAGGAAAAGTCAGAACTTACTAGAATGCCTGACAGCAAGGTTCACAACCTGAGACTACTCTTATTCAGCTTCACTTTTGTGACCTTTTCAACCCCTGCAAACTCTGTGCTAACCAGGCTTGTCCATTTCCAGGTATTGAGATACTCTCTGCCCTCCTGGGCTAGTACATCTGTTTTAGGTGCTACACAGGAGAGTTCCAGGTGACTTGGAAGAAAATACTTTGACTAAAAGCAAGTTATCTCCAGCAATATTAAAGAGGTGAAAGAAAGAAAGAAAGAAAGAAAGAAAGAAAGAAAGAAAGAAAGAAAGAAAGAAAGAAAGAAAGAAAGAAAGAAAGAAAGAAAGAAAGAAAGAAAGAAAGAAAGAAAGAAAGAAGAAAGAAAGAAATATAAGTAAAAAATATAAAATTTAAAATAAAATTAAAAAAGAAAAAAAGCAAGTTATCAACATAGCAATTTGATAACTCTGCCTTTCTCTCATGAACTCTAATTAAAACACACTAGGGCTCCATATGCCTGCCGCAGCGCACTGATGATACAACACTTAGCACAGGGCCTGGCACAGACACTAAAGGCTCACTAATATTAGTAATGAATGATCACTTCCAAAGCACTGTGGGCCAGAATCGGTTGTGCTTTCTGCAGATATTAACTGATTTAATCCACTCCAAAAGGCTTGCAGTTCCAGGAACTGATATATTACCATTTAACAGATAGGGAAACTAGGACACAGACAGGCCAAGTAAGCAGTCTAAGCGTACATGAAGAGCAGAGGCAGAGCGAGGACTTCAACACGGGCAGTGTGTTCTACAATCCCCGCTCATAAGCACCCTGCCGTATGGCTCCACACGTCTTAACTAATGAAGAAGGAAGAGCATTATTTCCCAACGCGTACAGGGCATAAGTTTAAAGAGCAGACTTGCAGTAAAACACCATCTACTTCAATATCTTCATCTTTTTATTTATTTTATTTATTTATTTTTTTGAGACAGAGTCTCACTCTGTAGCCCGGGCTAGACTGACCATGGCGTCAGCCTAGCTCACAGCAACCTCAAACTCCTGGGCTCAAGCCATCCTCCTGCCTCAGCCTCCCGAGTAGCTGGGACTACAGGCACGCGCCACCATGCCTGGCTAATCTTTTCTATATATTTTAATTGGCCAATTAATTTTTTGCTATTTATAGTAGAGATGGGATCTCGCTCATGCTCAGGCTGGTTTTGAACTCCTGACCTCAAGCAATCAGCCCGCCTCGGCCTCCACCATGCCCGGCTAATTTTTTTTACTTTTAGTTGTTTGGCTAATTTTCTTTGTATTTATAGTAAGAGACGGGGAGTCTTGTTCTTGCTCAGGCTGGTCTCGAACTCCTGACCTTGAGCAATCTGCCCGTCTCGGCCTCCCAGAGTGCTAGGATGACAGGCGTGAGCCACCGCTTCCGCCCCAATATCTTTATGTTAAATCCAGCAAAGTGACAGTCAGAGACGGGGCTCCTCCACAAGCTGATGACTAGCCTACCGGCGCCCAGGTGTCAGGGTCCCAAGGCCTCTCTACCGCGGCGGGACAAAAGGGAGACGTGCCCTCGCGGAGTTTCCGAACCCGCACACCGTCCCCGAGCCCCCGCGGCAGGGCAGTGGGCGGGAGAAGCGCTCGCCAGGCCCCGCCCCAGCATAACCCCGCGTCCAAGCGCCCGGCCGCGCATCCCGCAGAAGTGCTGCGGCCATGGCGACGGCGGCGGGCGGTGCGGCCTACTTCCAGAGGGGCAGCCTGTTCTGGTTCACGGTCATCACCCTCTCCTTTGGCTACTACACAGTAAGCGCGGCCACGGCCCGGCGAGGGGAGCGAGCGCTCCATTCAGCGCAGCCTCCGCGCCGGGAGAGATCGCGCGCGCCCGGAGCCGAGATGGAGGGGATGGGCCCGGAAAGGAGACGCGGGCGCAGCTAGGCCCAGCGCCTGAGGCGCTGAGAAACCGGCTAGCCGGGCTTTTCTTGTGTGGGGCAGGGACAACACCCCAATCGACTCAGTGTGTAGCTCTTTCGAGATGGTGGCGGCGAAGTCGGAGGCCGGCAGGACTGCTGCCGCCTACTTCCGTACAGCCAGACCCCTGCCCGCGCTCTGCACGGTGCTGGGGCTGGGATACTTCGCGGTGAGGCGTGGGGTGGGCGGTGCATGTGTTTGGGCCCGGCAGGCCCTCGTAGGGCGAGGGGCGCTGTGGGAATGAGGCCTGTGCGCACGCGCGTCGGACGGTTGCCTAGGTTACTGGTGTGAGCGGAAGTTCGATGGGCTTTTACGGTGGTTCCTGCTTGAAAGTGTTCCTGCCTTTGTATCCTGGCCCCTTCTCTGTTACTAATGGCTTAGCAGAGTTAGCCTCTCAACGAGCAGGAAGTCAAGTTGGCAGACCACCATAGGCCTGCCAAGTCAGGATAGGGCTTCCGAAGCAGAATATTTGAGGCAGTTGGAATTGCTTGGAAAACTTGGATAAACTTAAAGGATGTGTAGGATTTAATTGGTAAGGAGGGATAGAGAGGCTATAACTGTTAACGGGATAGGCGTGGAAGCATGAACAGCTGTACTGAGAGAAAGCGACTTTTGTCTGGCTGAGAAAGTTTGTTTAAATGACAGTAGGAAAGACGCGAGAAAAAAATAGGTTGAGGGCTAAGTTAGTATAATTTTGAAAGACGGCTACATGGATATTGTCCAAGGGATGGAGAGTTTTCGGAAGTGCACCTCTGGTCTCAATTCTGTGTCTCTTACTAGTTAGGGTATAAATAGAGGGAAGAGGGAAGCTTTGGGGACTTCAAATTGGGATATCGTGAAGCTGGCAGATGCTGCTCCTTCCATTCCCCTTGATCTAGGAGGATGCAGTGATGTTTTATGCTTTATTTAAATTTCGGATGTGAAACAACATCGTGAGAGAGGTAGTACTCCTCTTCGCAGAGATCTGAATGTGGCAATAAATTTTGGAGCTCTTGGCAGTTATTCTAAGCTGGCAGAGGTTACAACACAGACTGAGAAAAAATTAATAAGATTATAGAGACCTTATTGATTAAGCAGTTGCTATTAAAACTTCACAAACCTGATCTCACTCGCTTTCCATCTCTGTGCAGTGCATCAGTCCCAGTTTTAGAGATACAAAAAATGAAAGAAGAGAAAGGAATTCTAAATGAAATGGGGATTTGATCAAGTCATAGTTTATGCAGTAAAGAAGCTGACCAAGGCACACAAACTTTTTTTTAATTATTTTTTTCAATTTTTACTTTTTAATTTATCTTCTTTTTTTCAAAACAAAGAACGAATGTCAACCTCAAACACAAACTCTTAAAAGTTGCTAATAACTTCCATAAAGTAATGTTTTGGTGGAATTTATTAAAAATAGCACTGAGTCTGATAACCACATAGTTTCCTCAGCATAAATCTCTCAGTAGAGTTGTTTTTAGAAAACGGAAATTGAGAATGGAGACCCAGGTGACTGTTCAGAGTTTCTTTGGTTTGTAGTTGTTTTTGTAGAATCAGTATTATTTCATAGTCTCTCTCAAAAATAAAACATTTTAAGTGACCTAATAGGTATTTTCTGCCTCTGGTTCTCTTTCAGTGGGTTGTATTCTGGCCTCAGAGTATCCCTTACCAGAGCCTCGGCCCCCTGGGCCCCTTCACTCAGTACTTGGTAGACCACCATCACACCCTCCTGCGCAATGGGTAAGGAGAGCTACAGAAATGGGATGTGGACACTGCAGCTCTGGCATCACTAGAGATTTGAAAGGCCTGAAGTTCCCTTTAGATATCCAAGGGTAGTACTAGTTCACATTAAGGCACCTTTCTTTTTGAGGTTTCTGTGTTAGATTTCATCAGTAGATAACTATCACCTTAGACTTAAACTAGACTGACTTTTTTTGTTTGTTTCAGGTATTGGCTTGCCTGGCTGATTCACGTGGGAGAGTCCTTGTATGCCATGGTATTGTGCAAGTAAGTCTTTGTAATAGATCTTTGTGGCTTTTCTCTTGGTATCTAATATAAATTGAGAGTAGCCACATTTAAATAATTCATACACTTGTAGGCTGAGAGCATTCTCAGGGTAGAGCTAAATCCCCATGCCTGGTACTAAGCCTGGCACAGAGGGAGTACTCAGTAAATTTCTGGTGAGTAAATTCATTTTGTTTGTGTTAGTTAATCGATTATTTAGTTATTTAATTAAGATGACTTTTATTAGTTTTAAAAATTCCCTGGATAGCCCCAATTCTTAATTGTGGTTTCACAACTGAATCACGTGAAGAGTTCTTTCAAAATATTCATGTCTGGTTTCCAGACCCATCTAATAGGTCTTGCTTCAGAGATAGGAATAAGTTCTTTTTTAAAGCTCCATATATGATTCTGGGATGCAGTGCTAGTTAAAAACCCCTAAATCAGACCCTACTTTATAGATGCCAGTGTAGGTTAATATTGTGTGCCAGTACTAGGAAAAATATTCTCTTTATATTTGTACTTTATGTAAGCATATACAGAAAGTGTGATGCAATGAAAAACATGGTTTTAGTAATGCCAAATTGCTTTACAATTAATATTTTTTTCTGGTCAAGGTTAGCTTTCACCCCATTATTTTTCTGTTACTTCTAAAAGTGGAAAATAAGGACAGGTGAGGTGGCTCATGCCTGTAATCTCAGCACATTGGGAGGCCAAGGTGGGAGGATTGCTTGAGGCCAGGAGTTCAGGATCAGCCTGGGCAACATAGCAAGACACCGTCTCTACTAAAGGAAAAATTAGCCAGATGTAGTGGCATGCACCTGTAATCCCAACTATTCAGGAGGCTGAGGCAGGAGGATTGAGCCCAGGAGTTTGAGGCTACAGTGAGCTATGATTGTGCTGGTGTATTACAGCTTGGGTGACAGAAAGATACCTGTCTCTAAAAATAAAAAAAAAAACAGTTATAGGTGGAATGCTAAAAACTCAGCTTATAAAATTGAAAGTCTTCTATAATATCCCATATAGTCCTTGTTAAGAATTTAGTGTAGGCTGAGTGGGGTGGCTAACGCCTGTAATCCTAGCACTCTGGGAGGCCAAGGCGGGAGGATCGTTTGAGCTTAGGAGTTCAAGACCAGCCTGAGCAAGAGTGAGACCCAGTCTCTACTATAAATAGAAAGAAATTAATTGGCCAACTAAAATATATAGAAAAAATTAGCCGGGGATGGTGGCACATGCCTGTAGTCCCAGCTACTCGGGAGGCTGAGGCAGAAGGATTTCTTGAGTCCAGGAGTTTGAGGTTGCTGTGAGCTAGGCTGATGCCAAGGCACTCCAGCCTGGGCAACAAAGTGAGACTCTGTCTCAAAAAAAAGAGTTTAGTGTATATCATAATTTTATGCATTTATAAACAATTTCATATACACACATAGATATAAACTCTTCTATAACTGTTTTCCATTATCACATATGCCTATTATTAAATTTATTTTATCTATTTTATTTTATTTTGTTTGAGGGAGTCTAACTATGTTGCCCAAGCTGGCCTTGAACTCCTGGGTGCAAGCAATCCTCCCACTCCACCCTCCTGAGTAGCTAGAACGACAAGAGTGCTACCACACTAGGCTCACATTTTCCATGGCTGTACATATCAACTTACCCCATCCATTAATATTAGTGTATACTATTCTATTATATGGATGTGCCTTAATGTATTTAAGAAATCCATCTGATGAAGGATGTATAGCTTTACTATCCTAAGCAATACTGCTGTGAACAAGAATTTCATACATTTGGTCCACTTTAGTATTCCCTTAGAATATATAAATTCCTATATCTGGAATTTGAAGATTGAAGAATGAATATTTTTAATTTTGATATATATTGGCATATTGCCTTCAGAACCGTGGGACTAATTTATACTTCCAATACAAGTGTGACAGTGCTCATTTCCCCACAATCTCACCAACATTCTGCTAATGGGTTGTCTGTCCTTAACCACTTGTAGGCACTTTTTTTTCTGAATTTGAATACTTTGTCATTTAGATGTCTTGCAAATATCCTTTCTTGTGATTTTTTACTCTGTTGGGTCTTTTTTTATAAACAGAAGTTTATCAACATGGTCAAATTTATTACTTTTTTCTATAAAAGTTATTAAGATATTCTTCTTTAATCTTCTAACAGTTTTAGAACTTTGTCTTTCACGTTTAAATCTTTAATCTGCCTGGAGCTGATTCTTTGTGAGAGGTTTCCAACTTCACCTTTTTCCATATGATGCCCAATTATCCAAGAGCTATTTATTGAGATGTTCACTCTCCATTGATGTGCCCTGTCTTATATCATACATACATATACGCATGGCCCTGTTTCTGAAGTCTGTGCTATTCCATTGGTCTGTTTGTTTATCCTTGAGCCAATGCAACACTGTCTTAATATAGCAGTAGCTGTATAATCATTAGTATCTGGTTTTTGTTTTTGTTTTTTTTTTGAGACAGAGTCTCGCTTTGTTGCCCAGGCTGGAGTGAGCACCATGGCGTCAGCCTAGCTCACAGCAACCTCAAACTCCTGGGCTCAAGCGATCCTCTGCCTGAACCTCCAGAGTAGCTGGGACTACAGGCATGCGCCACCATGCCCGGCTAATTTTTTCTATATATATTAGTTGGCCAATTAATTTATTTCTATTTATAGTAGAGACGGGGTCTCGCTCTTGCTCAGGCTGGTTTCGAACTCCTGACCTCGAGGAATCCGCCCTCCTCAGACTCCCAGAATTAGTATCTGTTAAAGCATGTCCTCTCATCTCATTGCTCAAGAGGGCTGCCCACTTCTAGACTTTTGCATATTCTTATGCATTGTCATATGCTACAAAAAATAAACCTGTTGGGATTTTTATTGAATCGACCATATGAATTAATTTGGAGACAATTGGGATATTTCAATTATTGAGTCTTCTAAACCATGAAATGGTCTGTCTCCATTTATTTAGATCTCCAGTAATGTATCAATAAAATTCTGTAATTTTTAAAGAGGTCTTACACATTCTTTGTTAAATTAATTTCTAGCTACTTCTATTTTCATGTGCTATTATAAATGAGTTTTTTTAAATTTTCTAATTGGTTGATGGTAGTATATATGAATGTCCATTTTTACATATTGACCTAGTTACCTTGCTAAATATTAATACATGTATTAATTATAATAGTTTATCTGTAGTTTTTTTTTTTTTTACTATCTAGAAATGAAGACAGTATTATTTCTTCCTTTCAAATCTGTATATCTTTTTTTTTTTTTTTTGAGACAGAGTTTCACTCTGTTTTCCCAGCTAAAGTGCTGTGGCATCAGCCTAGCTCAGCAACCTCAGACTCTTGGGCTCAAGCAATCCTACTGCCTCAGCCTCCCAAGTAGCTGGGACTACAGGCATGTGCCACCATACCCGGCTAATTTTTTCTATGTATTTTTAGTGTCCAGCTAATTTCTTTGTATTTTTTAGGGAGACAGCGTCTTGCTCTTGCTCAGGCTGGTCTCGAACTCCTGAGCTCACACAATCCGTCTGCCTCGGCCTCCCAGAGTGCTAGAATTACAGGCGTGAGCTACCGGCCTCTCTATACCTTTTATTTGTGTTTCTTCCCTATTGCACTGGCTAGCACTTCCCATACAGTGTTGACTAGAAGTGGAGTTAATAAACATCGTGCCTGGTTCTTAATCTCAGAGGAAAACTTTTAACATATCCCATCATGTTTATTCTAGATTTTTGTAGATCTCTTCTATCAAAATTAGGAAGTTACATTGTATTTCTAAATTTGCTGCAAACTTCTATTAAAAATAGATGTTGGAATTGTCAAGTGCTTCTGTATATTTTAAGATGTTCATATGATCTTTTTCCTTTAATTTGTTAGTGTAGAAAATCATGTCATTTTTATATTTATGGTTTTTAAAATTTGTTTTAAATAAAAAGTCATCCAAATGGGGCTTACTATAGACAGATAAAACTGTATCAAGCCATTCACTTCAATTAGATATTTTCTTTTGAGCTTTGTTTTAGGCAATTTGTTTTGAGTGCCTATATAAGCAAATGTTTATCATTACCATGTGCCAAGCTCTTTCCTAGGCACTTTGTGTATATTGTCTCACAAACTTGGTGGGATAGCCACTATTATTCCTATTTTTTTCAGACAAGAAAACTGATTCTGAAAGATACTAAATGATTTGCCCAGGTCACAGCTGGTAGGTGGCCAAGCTAGGATTTATATCTGGTCTGTCTTCAAAATGTTTGTTCTGAAGCCATGCCAGTGCTTTTTACCCTATCCACTGACCAGAATCACATGAAAAACAGTTTTATAATACCATACCCTGGAGAGTAGCCAGACTGGTTCTCAGGGAATAGTGAATCATCCAAAATGCATTTATTAGAAAACAAGAAAGTTGAAAAATATTAATAAATGAACTAACCATTCAAGTTAAGAATCCAGAGAAATACAGCAAAATAAACCTGATGAAACTAGATGGAAGGTATAAATTAAAAAAAAAAAAGAAGACAATCAGTCCCTTGAAACCATAAGATTAAAATTCTGGTGTTTAAATGTTTTTTGTTGTTTTTTTAGGTCTAAAGGCATCACAGATGGTCGGGCTCGACTGCTCTGGTTCCTACAGACTTTCCTATTCGGGATAGCATCTCTCTCCATCTTGATTGCTTACAGATCAAAGCGCCGAAAACAAACTTAAAGAAGATATCCAAAAGCTTTCTCTACACTTTTACATTCAACCTCACCTCTTATGGTGGGGGGTTGTGGGGAGTGGCAGGGAGGCAGTGTTTACTCAGTGATCTTCCTACTTTCTAGAGACTACCGTGTTTCCCCGAAAATAAGACTTACCCATAAAATAAGCCCTAGCGGGATTTCTAAGCATTTGCACAATATAAGCCCTACCCCGAAAATAAGACTTAGTTATGGGCATGGCTATGCGGCGTATCTGCACAACCCATGCATTTCATTGCAGAGCGGTAAAGAAGACAAGCAGCCCTTCTCATCTGTCCCATGAGAGCTCTATTGCTCGACATGAGAGATTGGGTCCAATGGTTCTAAAGGAAATAGAGTCGCAAGAAATTCAGGATGGAATTCGGGGTTTGGAGAGTTTTCCACTTCCGCAGACTAATCTGTTTTTGCCTGAGTGCTTCCAGCTACCTTCTTGAGGTCCTTGGCCGTTATGGTGGTCTTTCGTCATCTGAGCCACATACTAAATTTACTTGTTAGCAAAACACCTTACCCTCACCACCACAATCTTACCTTTCCTTTCCCCCAATTGTTTCCACCTTTCTGGACCAGTGACACTTCCACAACACATAAATTCTACACATTTATTAGGTACCTGTGGAGGCAGGATCCTTTCTCAAACTACAGAAAAAGATGAGGAAGATAAGCAAGTGCCTGGCACAGGGCAGGCTGAGCAATTACACAGAGGCACAGGAGGACATGCTGGGAACCAAGAGGAGAGGACTGGGAGTGCCTTACCTAGTGCTGCCAGCCAGAAGTGATCCTTTCCTCTACATGGCCCCTGGGACACAGTGCTCTGCCATGTGCAGGGCTCCGATGGCACTGCCAGATTACTCCTTCAACTCAGGGCCACGTCTTTTACCCTCAGCACCTGTCCCACTGCCTTGCACACAGGTGCTCCATCAGTGTTTATTGAACAAAGGAGGGAAACCACTTTTGCTTTCCCCTTGTTCAGTATCATTCTAATTTCTACGTGAAAATTGCACAACCTGTTTGGTGTTCCTTCATCTCAAAAGAAAAGTACAAGACTGGCTTTAATCTGTACCACTTTCTGTGGGTATCATTTTTACACTTTCCTATTCATGGTCACTTTCTCTGAACACCAGGTGTCTCCCTCTAGCTCTGACTCACTCAGATACACATTCTTGTTTTAGAGATTCTGTCCCATGGGCTACCTTGCTAGTTACTACCTCTCCCATTCATCTGGTTAGACCTCATTACTGCTGACAGGTTGGGGAGGCAGGATTATTGACTCTGTCCCCTTATCCCTGCAGAGCGACCCCTACAAGCCATTTGGTTTCCTTCCCTGGGAGGACTGCCTACTTGTTCTCTGCAAACTAGTACTCATTTCTCTTCCGTGATACGGCAAGGCAGGTTACTTATATTAAGCAAACATTTATGAGAAACAACCCCCTTCCCAAAATAGAGCCCCCAAGTAAAAGTACAACCTTGAAAGATTATGGAGTATGAATTGTTTCTAGTGGAGATAAATTTCTGCAAATACATTTCAGTCTTTCCCTCTGTTTCTCTTATGATTAAGATGTTGCTTTGTGGTAGATAAAGATTTTTGACCATAGAGTTAAACATCATGGAAATTCAACCCAGATTTTTAAAAAACGTCCTTTCCAAAGGAAATAATAATGACTGGTGCTGGGAACAATCTGGAAGATTATTGAACAAATGGATTAATTTGAATAAAATTCTGTGAATTGTGTCTCACAAGTATGTTTTTCAGTTTTGACATAGTGTCATGCATTGGATTCTTTTTCTCAAATAGACTCTTATGGAACTGTTTATCTAGTTCAAATATCAGTTTGTTTCTCATTGATAAAGAATTGCAGGCCGTGGCTCACGCCTGTAATCCTAGCATTCTGGGAGGCCGAGGTGGGCGGATTGCTCGAGGTCAGGAGTTGAAAACCAGCCTGAGCAAGAGTGAGACCCCATCTCTATAAATAGAAAGAAATTAATTGACCAACTAATATATATATATAGGAAAAATCAGCCTGGCCTGGTGGTGCATGCCTGTAGTCCCAGCTACTCGGGAGGCTGAGGCAGCAGGATTGCTTGAGCCCAGGAGTTTGAGGTTGCTGTGAGCTAGGCTGACGCCACGGCACTCACTCTAGCTTAGCAACAAAGCGAGACTCTGTCTCATAAAAAAAAAAAAAAAAGAGAATTGCAGAATGCCCTGGTTATAGGGTATATACTTAGGTTTGTAAACTTCCCATGGCCCACGTGTCTCTTTTTCATTGTAGGATTATCTCCTTTTTGTTTCTGTTTTCATTTCATTCAGCATTTCATAAGATCTGTGTACCAAGTAAGGAGTGTTCTGGCATTTTTTAAATGCCTAAAAATATAGTCATGCATCACTAAACAATGGGGATACTTTCTGAGAAATGCATCATTAGGTGATTGCACCATTATGCAAATATAGGCTGTACTTACACAAACCTAGATGGTACAGCCTACTGCATACCTAAGCTATTGGTATGGCTTATTCTAGACTAGCAAACTGTATAGCAGGTTACTGTACTGAATAGGTAATTGTAACACAATGGTAAGTATTTGTGCATCCAAACATAACTAAACATTGAAAAAGTACAGTAAAAATATAGTATAATTTTATGGGACCATCATGTATGCAGCATGTCATTGACCAAAACGTTGATATATAGCATGTATATAAAATCGTATAATCTTACTTGGGATATTATCATGGCTTAGAAGCAGAGGGGATCTTAGTGAGCAAATGGTGCAGATCATTCATTTTACAGACCCAGAAACTGATCCCAAGGAGGTGAAGTAACTTACCCAGTGTCACACACAGGGAGGTAGGATTCTGGGCCTGTTGTTTCCCCTCTCCCCCACAGCTCAGGAGCTTAGAAGTAAGTCTGTGTAGCAAAAAATAAACAAATGGAGACATTTTGACTGTGTGTTGTAGTCATGGTGGTGATAAGGGAGAAACAGCTTTATGTTAAGTTTGGATGAGAAAAGGCCAGAGGCGTCTTGGTGGAAGTGACAATGGAAGATAAACAGACTAAACTGTTGTCTTGCCCACCCCAAAGGTTTCCAGAACATTTATAGTTTGGAAGAACAAAAAAACTAATGGCCTCAGAACTTAATAACAGGCCCCATTTATAAACTAACAGTAATTCCTACATTCAACATGTTTATGACTCCATGCAATCTGTGTCTAAACATGTTTTATAAGCCATGGTGTTAACACAAGCCTTGGGTTTGAGGTTACATTCCAGATGTGTAAAGACACTTTGGCAAAACAACTTGCCATTTCAGAAGATCCTTATGTCTTTACATCGAGGGTCTGAAAACAAAACTTAGAGGACCTGCAGTGGAGGTTGGAGAACACAGAGCAATCACATGTTTATCTTCCTAGGACCCTTCCTGGAGTCTCATTACTTTAAGCTTTTAGTTTAGCAACTGGGTTGTATATATCATTTATCCTTCCCTTTTTTGTCAGCACAGAGAAAAAGTAATGCTTGTAGGGTAGCTGAGGAATACATTTTAAGGCCATGGAAACTTTCTGCAAGGCTCTTTGTCCACACCAAATTGTGAATTATGTTTCCGTTTTCATCCAGGCTGGACAATGAGAGTCTTTAATTTTCATTTCACATCTCTGTTATGAAGAGGAGATTTATACTCTGATTCCACAGTGAACACTTGAAAATCCTATTCAAAATACAGTATTTGCAATTTTTGTAAAACATTTTGGCATGGCTTCTAAGCTTTCTTAAATGGTTGAGTATACCAGTTGCCTCATTTCTGTTTGTAGTAAGCTATATGTTAAGTGAAATAGTTTTGGTATACTACAAATACCGTTCAGGGAAATATTTATGAAAGAACTTTTGCTTACTTTTTATTTATACTAACACATTACACAGGACAAATTGCCACTAAAATTGATGAAATTTTCATTGTTATAAATTAAAGAGGAATGGCATCTATTATATAAAGTAGGGAAGAGTTCCCTAAAATTCAAACACATAGGGACCACCTTCACAACTTTAGTCATGTCTGTGCTACACCTGAGTTTATTATTTAAAGCAATTTGCTTTTTAGAAATCTTCCTAAACAAGTGTGAAATCTCAGGTTTGGTTTGTTAATTATATCTTTTCTAATACATATGAGAAGAAAGCATAATTATCTAAAATCACCATACATACTAGTGATACACTTGACACACTGTTAATCAAAAAGTATTACCCTACTCACTGAAGACTGAAGCATGGGGTTTAACCTGGCCCTAGCCACAGGATTTTAGGCAAGTGTGTCACTTTCTGGACCTCAGCAGCATCATTAAAGGAATGAAAATCCCACCCCAAAAACTGTTAAAACTAATAGATAAATTCAGTAAATTTTTGTCTTTGCAAGATACAAAATCAAAATACAAAAACCAGTAGTGTTTCCATACACTAAGAACAAACTATCCAGAAAAGAAATCAAGAAAGCCGTTCCATTTACAGTAGCTACAAAAAAGTTCAATACTTAGGAATACATTTAACTAAGGATGCAAATGCTCTGTATACTGAAAACTATAAAACATTGATGAAAGAAATTGAAGAAGACATAAATAAAGGGAAAGATATGTTCATGGATTGGAAGATTTAATATTGTTAAAATGTCCATACTGCCCAAAATGATCTACAGGTTTGATGCAATCCGTATCATAATTCAAATGACATTTTTCTCAGACATAGTAAAACAATCCTAAAATCCATATGGAACAGCAAAAGACCCCAAGTAGCCAAAGCAATCTAGAGCAAAAACAACAAAGCTGGAGGCATCATACTACCTGATTTCAAAATATACCACAAAGTTATACTAATCAAAACAGCATAGCACTGGTATGAAAACAGACACATAAACCAATGGAACAGAAAAAAGGGGAAAATGCCTTTGAATGTAGAATTTTATATTCAGTCAAATTGTCATTGAAATGGGAGAGAGTGATGGGAAAATTCCCTGTATTCAAAGGCTCAGAGCAGTTCACACACAAAGATACTGAAAACACTTGGAAGAGGATCTCAAAGAAAGAAAGGAAAAAATATCCAGGCTTGTTACCGAGGAAGGAAAGGGGGAAACAGTTATC